TTTATAGCTACCAGCCACCTGTTGGGGTTTAGATTTTAATTAATTAAAAATCAATGTACTTTAGTGGCACCAGCCACGTATCAAGTGCTAAGTAGGCACATGTGTTTGGTGGCTATTTTATTGAAGAGTTAAACTATAGACTGTTTCCTTTATCTTAGAAACCTGAATAGAACTGGGTAGATACATTCAGGATAGATGAATGGATGGATGGATGAATAAACAAATACATAGATAGATAGATAGATAGATAAATAGATAGATAGATAGATAGATAAATGATAGATAGATAGATAGATAGATGATAGATAGATAGATAGATAAATAGATAGATAGATAATATGTAAATGTGAACATAAAAATATGTACACTGGGTCTGGGGTTGTAGCTCAGTGGTAGGACACTCACCTAGCACACGTGAGGCACTGGGTTTGGTCCTTAGCACCACACAAAAATAAAATAAAAGCATTGTGTGCACCTACAACTAAAAAATAAAAATATCTTTTTAAAAAATATGTATACTGTCAGGCTGTAGTAAAACAAGTGTTCATCTTTAGAATAATTGCTCAACATTCAGGACTTTTTTTAGATGGTTGTCAAGGCACTAGGTACCTCAAATTAGAACTTCAATGGGAATATTTTTGTATTACAGAAATAAGCAATAAATTAGGAAAAAATTTTTGAAGGAGAGAGAAAAATAGTTTATATTACTGGATGTGAGTAGATACAGAAATATTTCTTTTCTCTGTTCAATGTAGAAGTATTTCATGTTAATAATCTTGTCTAATGAGAGTATCTAAAAGCAAAAGTTCACAAGATGATCACAGATTTTGATTTCTAAATTCAATTAATTGGAAAAACAAAAAACAAACCTGTCGGGGGAAACAGAGCAGAAACCTAGAATACCTTAAATTAGAAAGCAAGAAAATACTTAGAAAATAAATGAAAAGGGCACAGAATATACTGTGTGCTACTATAATGTGGATACATGTCATAGAATGTACAAGACAAAGAGCAAATCCTAAGGAAATCTGTGGACTGTGAATGATAGAAGTGTGTCAACACAGGTTCCTGAACTGTGATAAATATAACTCTCTGGTGGTGGATATTAGGAGTGAAGCAGTGTATTCAAGACTACATGAAGAACCTTTGTGTTTTCAGCTCAATATTGCTATGGCCAGAATAAACAGAAGCTACTTTTAAAACAATCATTTAAAAGGTGACAATAATAATAGAAGACTCAGGAGCCTACATGAAAGGGATTCCAGTGGACAAATATGGGAGAATTGAGCATCAAAATGAAAACAGTAAGAAAATAAGTTGAATAAAAATACCATGCTGGTAAAAGAAATACTTGTTTAAATGAGCTTCAACATTGAACATGGCTCTAGTTGTGCTTCTCTAGAAAGTTTCTCAGGCTACTGAATATGATATCCAAGCATGGTCCTTCTGCAACTAGGTAGAAATACTCTTCTTCCTGGAAAATCTCCTGCATATTTTCAGAACAATCCTTCTCTCTGAGTTTCCCCATCAGTAGATGAGATAGCAACCTTGTTTACCTTTATGAGACTCCACATCTTTGGAATTCTGAGAATTTATCATAAGCTGAAGAAAATCCAC